ATATAAACGCGGAGAGTGGGAGGAGACACACGCGTTCATTTAAGCATACACATATTCGTGTCTGTACGCGTCTTCGGCGCCTCTGTCGCGCCTCCGTGTATACGTATTGGTGTACGCGGCAAGCACAACCACGTGGAGAGTGCACGCACACCAAATACATAAGTCGCACACACGTGGCGCGAGAAATCATTCCAATGTCCGTTCGATTCATGCACGTTGTCGTATTCGTAGTGCGCGCGTCAAATTCACGTACCCACACATTGTTCGATCGAAAATTCACGTTCCCCTTGTACCAGGATCCTACGCGACGGCATTTGAGACGCGTATCGAGTGTTACAGAATAGCGATACGCTCGTCCGTTTGCACTTCCCAGAAAAGCAACATCGATTCCACTACTATAAACCAAGTAACCGGAGATATTTTGGAAAAATATAGAGTTTAAGAACTTGACTCGCTAATCTTTCAAAATGGTAATCTTTTATTTTTGAAAATTTAGCATTTGATAAATTGCACATCGCCAATATATCCTTGATAAATGCTACAAAGAATTCGAAATTTCAATGTTGCTATAAATTTATAACCAATCATTCATGAATTAATCATTGTCATTCGCTTTTCGAGACGATGTTTTCACATTTGGTTAGTACAACTGCATATGCGCCATGTAAAAGGAGGTCATGGTACAACCAAATAGAAATAATAACACAACTATAAGTTCCGTTCCTCCACACGGCATTCTAAAACGTAAAATTCATAGAAAGTGAATTGTCCGCATTGAAACGACATCTGTTAATCCTTTACCGAGTGAACAACCACGCGATTGCAGTTTTCTGCATTATCATTGCACGTCATGCATAACCATCCGAACAAAGTATGTTTTAAAAATTTTCTTACGCTACGTGTTACCTAAGATCGGTAAATCGTCGATAAATATCACGAACCTATATGACAAATACGTGACAACTATATAATTATATAATTATATCCATGATCGCGAACGCAGCCTATTGGCTCATATTATCTGCTATATAATTTATAATTATATCACAAATAACTTGTAATACAATTAATAATTGTATATCAAATAAATATGATTTCCAGGTCTCACCAAACGTGGAGGTTGCTGCGAATTGGAGACCCACCCTAACCACACGACGTCCCATCCACCCATCCTTTTATGCAAAAATTAATTCATTTTTAAATAAATATTTCTTTTGATATGTGTTTGCAAAACGTTCAAAATCTCGAACGTTGTGCAAAAACGAACAACAAAAGAATTTTTATGAAAAACCGTCGCGAAAAACTAAACCAGAAAATAAAAATTATTTAAATCTAATAGTATAACTCTATATAAGATATACACACACACACGCGCGCGCACGCATTCCAATTTATATATATATATATATACGTATCAATATTTTATATCTTCATTGCCATGAAAATACAGAATATTGATAATTACAAAGAATAAAACAAAAAAAAAAGGAAATATTTCTCACATAGAGTTATGCTTACTTTAATAACCATCACCATTTGATACCACTATTACTACTATCATGCATGCATCTACTGCTACTACTATACATTGGACTTGAAGCAATATCAATCAATGTTTTTTTACAAACCATTTTACTTATCCAAGATTTTCTTAAAAACATATACCAATCACTTTTAATCAATCAAATTTAAAAATAATAACCTGCCTAACCAAACAAGAGAATAACGACCTGCCTACTCAATTTAAATTTAACCTACCTAAATCAAAAACTAAAGAATCCCCTACCTATATAGGTACTTAACTTAATAAGTAATATTGAAAAGGATATGGAATGAAAGTAATCTTTGGGAATTTTGCATACTTTGTATGCACTTTAAAATGCGATGAATCTCACCCCTGATTCTTAAGAATCGTTGAATAAATTTCAACAAATACAATTCTTTATAATATTTATATTACAAAGTAGAATCCCTATTATTTTATCAAAACCTAAAGATAATACTACTAAGATTTGTTCAAAGTCTCTACCTACATAAAAATCTCAATATAATGAAGGAAAGGAAAAAGGAAATTATACGAAATACGTGAATCTTCTTTCATTGATCCCACGAAGTCCCTGAAACAAATAAAACTACAAAGAATTAGTAAAATTCTATAATATATATAATTACTTTCTCATTAATAACAAACTTTTATTTCCCTGTGTATTCAAGTATTATTTTTTCTGAATGTATATATCTGAAACAAACAACTTATTTACTACATTAGTAATTAAAAAACATAATTACTGAAAGAAAAAATATATATATATATATGTAATATCGAGATGAAAACCAATTATCATATATATATTTTTTTTTAATTTTAATATAATAATTTTATTATATAATTATATTATTAATTATATTATAATAATTTTTGTAAAAATAGATTGATAACGGTATATAGCAGTATTTTCTACAACAAATGCAATAAAATGTAATGAGGGACGCTGAAAAAGAAATAAATTTAGTAGCCAGAAGGGCCACTACAAATATTTTCCACTCGATATAAACCCGAACAAACCGTGAGTGGAATACTTTTTTTATATATCGCAACACTAACAGACTAATGTTTTTTTCAAAAAACAGAAAAGCAACCGCGATGAGTGCTTCATTTTATTTGCAATACTAATTAATTTACATTGTTAAAAAAAAAAATAAAAAAAAAATTAAGAAAAATCGCGAAACAATCATTTAACGCAACACTAACACATACTACTTTATGCACTCAAATTTGAATACGCAACACTAATAACGAAAAATGCAGCCTCCTTGATGACTGCCGTCGTACAATCATCCTTGTAGCTCTTTCAGCTACATCAGATGATTCAGGAACTTTCACAATCCTAGTGAAAGACGTTTGGGCATTCAATATTCGCAACACTAAGTAACAAACACGATTATTTTTCAACGCAACACTACTTCTTAAAACAAATATTTTATATGACTGAAGAGCTAACAATTAATTAATCAACGAATTAAATGACAAATAAAATAAATTTTAAAGTTAAAAAATTAGAAAAATTGAAAATAGAAAAAGAAAAGCGCGATTCTCATTTTAACGCAACACTAATTCAAACCGTAAATATTTTCTCGCAACACCAGTAAAGAAACGCGAAAATTACAACGCAACGCTAATTCAACCCGTTATTAATCAATCGCAACACTAATAAAAAAATCGCGATGCCCAATGATGACAGGATGCGGACGGTGGGCCGGCATGCATGTATCGGCCAGACGATACAACATAAACTACTACATACTAAAACGAGCACAGTGACAAAGTAATAATAATGACCTCCCATTCTTTGAACCCAAACGAGATCCAAAGGATGAGAAATCATTCGTTGCAGCCCTCTTCGTGACAGTTTGTCGGGCCTCTTCGGTCTTCCTCCTTCGGGCGCGATGCCCGCTGAAACTTAAATCTAGGCTCGAGATTCGCTAATCTCGAAAATCAAAAAAAAAAAAAGAAGAAAAAAAAAGTCTAATTCGCGAAAGCTAAGTGCACATGGACGACCAACGATCGTAGCGATTGTTGCTCGTACACGTGCAGAATCTCGAGCGCAACGTTCGTTTCGAAATCACTCGCGACCGCGACCACGGGAATTCGAAAAATCGATGAGCAAAGTCAGAAACGAGTGGCATGCTCCGTTCGTTCCAACTTTTCCCTCGATCTTTCAAATTGGATTTCCTGAAACAGGTTGTCACGCGAAAACGCGCCTACCCGACCAGAGACTGTGACAACCTGCTCGGCCCTACCTACTTATAAGTAACGGACACACCAGAAGTATACTACCTATCCTACCTAGCCCTATATTTAAAAAATGGCAAAACAGACACACCAACACATCCATTCCACGATACTCTCACGCATAACACCCGGGCGCAAAAGGCCTACACTAGGGAAAGCGTCCCGGGACGCCTCCGACACCCGAGCTTGGCACACTTCTCGCATACTCTAACTTTACGTACCATTTTCCTGAAATCGACTGATGATGGCTAGCGATCATTGCGTAGAACGCGATGAAAACTGATATTTTAATTTAAATTATGAATATCGACGATTAAAAGAGTATCCATACCATACATCTATTAAATGAAGTTATTAATAATACGAATTTTGATAACATTATTATTATAATATATAGATATTCGTAGAACTATTTAAAATTCGTATTATTTAATAGCGAATGTAAAATTATGATTATAAATTGAAATTGAATTAATAATTGTAAATAACCGAAACAACGCAATTCCACAGCCTAACCACAGCACACAATGTGGAAAATACGTCGTGCACGATACACTAACGCATCATCAATCGCTAAAAGAAATTGTGATAAACTTATAAACTGGAATCATCATGCACATCACCTCTCCCTCACCCAAGTAGCACCTGGGCACGTGAGTGAGTTCCTGGCAATGAACATGGAAAGGGTTAAACCTGAAAATCCTAAGCTAAAAAGAGTATTTATTTTGTTTATCTAACGAGCTAATATTTTTTTCATCCAATACTTTATTTTATTTCAAATTTTAAAAAATCTACTTTACAAATTAATGAGATGCTACTAATTTTAATATGAAACAAAGGAAAATATATGAACAAGAAATTTATTTACGATGATTAATAATAAATTTATTTACAATGATTAATATAATAAAAAATAATTTATTCTAAATGGAATATTAATGAAAATATCCTCAGACGATCTCTTCATCAAAGCACATTTTCGAATATACAAAAAATGTTCAAAACTTGTTGCTTCGATTCAAAAATCTATCTGTCGCGAATCGCGTTTTCTTGCACATAAAATTTTACATATTTTTTACGGAGTAAATAAAATTAATATCTTTATTTTCAAGTCATGTATTTAATTTTATAATAAAAAATCAAATAAATAATTCAATTATGATGAAATTAAAAATTGTTTATTAATATGTTAATGATAATATATATTATCGTTATTACTGCGTAATAGTTAAAATTTTATAATAAAGTTGGAAAGGATATTCAACTTCTTCATTATTGGATACATTTTAATATTTCATATTTATAAATATTTTTTGTTTATTTTTGTTTTAAAAACGCGACGTGCAAGAAAACTCTATCCTAATCTGATAAATAAAACACAAAAAGGAGAAATGTCACGAGTATAATAAATACCCGAGGTCACTGTGCTCGTGCAAAATTCTACGTATACAACCAGTTACTCGTGTCGATTCGAACCTTTCATTCTACGACATGATTGAATAACCGGAGGAATAAAAATGCATGCGACTCACCATTCGATGCGAAGAATCTCTGTTCTTATAGCTCATTATGAATTATCATAAAATAGGAGACTGTGAAAGCTGTAACAAAACATAGAACATCATAATTTGAAATATAATATTGATTTAAAAAAATGAAAATAACGAGAAATGAAACTAAACATAAAAAAATAATTACCTCTTCGTGTGATGGATGATCGCATTATTTTCTTGATGCACTGACTCTAACTTATTCCGAAAATGAATAAAAATTAAAAAAAAAAAAAGAAAAAAGACTATTGATACGTTCAATTATTTGAATAATCGGCGAACAAGCACTGACTCTAATTCCGCGTATGATCATTTTAATTACATTTACTTGGAATTTTAAAATAAAAAATAATATTATTATATATACTATATTACGAATCAAACACTGACTCTACCGACCACATTGCGCGTAGTCAAAAATATATAAAGAAATCTTCAACACCTATAACAAAATATAAAATATTATATACAATTTTTTTTTAAATTTCATTATAATCTTAAAATAATAAAAAATGAAATTATATTCAATTTTCAACTTTAATAAATAATACTAATAAAAATAATTGAATTTTTAATAAACTTTAATAAATAAGAATTAAAATTCTAATACGAAAGATTGAAATCTAGTGATATTATTTACCTCTTCGTATGATGGATGATCGCCTTATTCTCTTGAGAGAAGCACTGATTCTATTTTATACCGAAAACGAATATTTAAAATAAAAAAATAAAAATAAGAAACTATCGCATCCGTCAAATTATGTAATCGGCGAACAAGCACTGATTCTAATTTCACGTATAATTATTATAATTAAATTTATTTAGAGCTATTATACTCTAAAGAACATAAAAAAAACTATTACGAAACAAACACTGAATCTACCAACCGCATTGCGCGCGGTTAAAATAATTTTCTGGAAATAAAATTGTATTAATAGAAGAATAATGAGATAAATAGAAGTAAATATGTTTTCATATTTTCCTTCTATTTTTTATCGAACATTTGTTTAGAAAGATACTGCTATTTTTCAAAAATCATTATTTATCTTTCATTAATTTATAAAAATATATATTAAATATAAAATGATCAACTCATTTGTAAAGTATGAAATATTTTTTCGTTATTAATATATATATATAATATCTTCACCTTATGTAATAATAATTAAGTAAAAAAAAAATAAAGAAATAATTACATACGTCTGTCTTCAAGACTAAAATTCAAACTTCATAAAAAGCCAACTGTCATATTGGCGTCCATATTGAAAATTCCTTTTCCCGCCTTGGAAGTTATGTATCTCAACAATTAACTACTAACCTGTACAAAAGAAAAAATCAAATATTTAAAATATGTATAGAATGTATGAAATTAACCGATTCTATTAAAACAAACTAAAAATAAAACTCAAATTCTGTTTTAGAAACTCATAATACGTGATACCGGTAATTTTAATAATCAGATAAAATAAAGGTAAAAGAAATAAATTATTTTCCGAAAAATTATAATAATATTTAACAGGTTATTATAAAAATACGTATTAATTAAATAGTAAATATGTGAATGAATTAAATGAATAATAAAAATATAATTATAGAAATAAAGTACTACGTATTAGATAAATTACATACCTTGAGAAAGACGATACGTCTAATCTCCACAACTTTCGACACTCGAATGACACCACCCCGCGCCGCGATTTCGTCTATCGAATTTCAAATTGGAGTGGGGGATTCGGTAAGTCGAGCATGACACGAGCGTGGCACGAACGCGAGTTTAAAATTTCCTGGAAAGACCATTATAAGAAATATTTATAGCCTTGAGCATAAAATTCAAAACAAAAGATATATGAATTTATACGCAGATAAACTCACTTAGAAATGAAATATACTTCGTAAAATAAAATTGGCAATAATGGATAAAAGATATACCCGATGATAGCTTTTAACACGAAATAAAATACTAATAATATAATAATATAATTATAATATATATTATTATGCATTATATACGTACATTATTACTATTATTATTTTTATATTTCTTTATTATCAATAAAAAGACAATAAAAATCTATATTAAATATATTTATCTTGCTAAAATAAAATAAATGTTTATATAAAAATCATCGAACTGAATAATTAATCGTTGTATATGTATAATTAATTATTTATTATGTAAATTGTTATTTCTTCATTGATTAACCAATAATTCATATAAAAGATTTAACACAAATATATATATATATATATATATATATATATATATATATATT